TTTTATATAACACACACACACACACACACACACACACACACACACACACACACACACACACACACACACACACATATACGACACACTGCCCCTTACTGTTTTTAGTTAAAAGAAAAATATCTAAGAATCCCTCTGTGACAACCTAGTTTTCCACCTCTGGGCAAAACTGTCATTGACACATCTCCCTCTTGGACCAATAAGCTGCGACCAGGCTATTTACCGTAACTTTGTTGCATGTAGCTGCTGGCGGGCGGGGAATGCCCTGGCTGTTGCTGATTGAGCCAGAAGGGAGATATTTCAGCTATGTACACCATGGGTCAGTTTTGGCACATCCCTGCTCATAGTAGCAGGGGGCAGTTCCGTCCCCCCCTTTTCCTCTTGGAGAATTTGGCTGCCCTGTGTAAAGAGAAGAATGGAAAGGCTGGTGCTTGAAATGTGTGGACTCTTCCCCAACCTTCCACCATTGCTAAAAGTGGACCATTCAGGAGACCTGAGTGTTCTGCTAGATACACTGGTGAGTTAAGAGACACGACACACACATTCTGCGTGCATATCGGACCGTTCTCTGATCTCTGTGACCTTCTTTAATGTAGGCGTGTTGGAGGGTGTCAGCACTGTTTACCTTCATGTTGTTTTATGTTTTGTATTGGATATCTGGCAACATGTTGGTTGCCTATTGCAACATATTTTAGTTTGTTTGTTAAACTGCCAATTATTTTAAAGTGCAACTGCAATCCTTTAGACTTCTACACTTGCAGGATTGTTGGGTTTTTGCTGAGCTCTGTGCTTCCTTTCGCTTGACTACGGAATACAGTTGTGACGTCAAGGCTTGGAAAAATCAAACCATAGAGCTCAGTGCATGACCTGCAATCGCTAGATTCTGTAACATCTACAGGCACTTTTCTCCGATACTACTGCAGAGGTTTCCAGAGGTGAACATTCCCCGTCGTCTTTGTAGAGGCAGCTTTCATTTGAAGACTATTTTTAGCGAGGAAGTCACTTGGAAGAGATACCGTCATGCAGGGCAGGGTGACCGTGTCTCTGGGAAGAGCATCCTCTGACCCCCCTCTTAATTGCCTTGCTGGCACTCTCTCCTCGGCAGCTGGCACTTAGATTGGCTCTGTTGGTAGCCCGGTAGAGCAGGTATGTCATGTCCCTGGTCAAGTGATGGTGCTCAGGCATAGAGATTGGCTGCTGATGATTTATTTACTTGAGGCCCTGTCACATTTCCCTGCATGGACAAGGTGACAGTGTCATATTAAATGTCTGCATTCAATTGCTAATATCCTGTTGGCTGGTAAAGTCTGCACAATTTCCGTTTCCATCCTGCATTCTTGTTCCATGTTGGTGGCTTACTAAGAAGTCGAGCGAGGATCAGGAAGACCATCTCCAGAGCCACAAGTCAAATCTTTTCGTGGCGGTTCTGTCCAGACCACAATCGCCGATAACCCTACACTGGATTATGTGGATACACC